TGTTTTTGACATTTCGCATATCAACTTGCTCGAATTACTGCAAAATATGACCAATTTATTTAAGAAAGTTGTGTCACTACAAGGAATTTGAGAGACTTAAAAGGCAGTATCAGGGTCTTTCGCCATCTTGGATCTAAAAAATAACAAGAAAACATTTGGTACAGGCTTTTAATGGTAATACAAATTTTGGTGGATGAATACGAACCATTTGTAAGACTTCTCTTTTAAATGAAAAAAACCACTGTTTTTTTACCAAATGCATAATTTTTTCTATTGTTGATTCCAACTTTTAAAACTGTTCATTATAAGAAGATAATCTAACTTAATAAAGTAAATAAATGTACAGTAGCTTAGTTCCTACTTTGTATTATAGCAAGACAAAAGTATTGTGACCACATTTATCTATAAATTTCCTAAACAGCATATCACCAGGTTCAATCCACCATTTTCTACATAAGAAAATGCCTGTACCAAGTCAGGAATATGACAGTTGTTATCCATTCGTTTGATGTGTTTGAGCTTTTGATTTTGCCATTTGATTAGGGACTTTCCTTTTTGAATTTTCCTCGGAGTTCAGTATTTTTGTGATTTTACTTTTCACATGTCTTCTTATAATGTATTTGTAAACTGTCATTTAGTCTTTCTCTATTTGCATGTAGAAATAAATGCGTTTTCCCTGAACATGTAATTTCTTCACAACCTGTAGCTTGAAATTAAACTTGGTGATCATTATCTTTTAATACATTTTTGAAAACAGCACGATATAAAATATATTTTGACAAAGATTAGATTTTTGTTTTTATTCCAATAAAACATCACCATCAATTTTATATAAAAAATGATTAGTAATACTTTACTTTTCATAAAGATGATTGCAGATATAGTTTTTGTGATTGAAATCAATAGGTGTTTTTAATTGTGATAATTAAAATGAGATTGGATAAATTATATTTACAAGATTTGTTGTACGGTAAAACGAAGATGCTAAAAAACATGAAGACCATCGATTTTGATAAGGACAGAAAGTTTAATGATACTGTAAAAATGCAGTAAAATTGCTCAATTTGTCCAGATATGACCCCTGGTAAAAACTTGGTTATGTTCCTTCGTGTTACCTCGACTATAATTATGAAAAAAGACAAACACAGATCAAATTTTTAAATAAGTCTATCATTATGATCATTTATAGGTTTTTTTATAGGATATTTGACATTCGTTTTATTTAGAAGCCTCTGGTATATTTGATGATTTTTTGTTTGCACGGCTGCTGAAATGTAATGTAATCCGGCGGTATTTCGGAAGGTTTGCAACTAATATTCATTCTTTACACTTTTAACCCTATGAAAGGTTCTGTAAATAACTAGTATTGACCTTTGAAGCTTAAACTTTAAGCTATTTTGATCTTACAAATCAAGAATAGAAAAGGAGGCAAATGAAACATATAAATTTTGTTGATTATGAGACTCTCCCCTTCCCCCTCCCCCCCCCCTAAACCCACACCAAAAAAACAAATTATAGAGAAGAAAAAACGATTAGTTATGTCTCTGGTGCAAGAAAGTATATAATATTAAAATTGAGAATGGAAACGGGGAATATGTCAAAGAGACAACAACCCGACCAAAGAGCAGATAACAGCCGAAGGTCACTAATGGGTCTTCAACGCAGCGAGAAAATTCCGCACCCGGAGGTGGTCCTCAGCTGGCACCTAAATAAAATTGTGTACTAGTTCAGTGAAAATGGACGTCACACTAAACTCCAAAACATATAAATGAACTAAAATTAAAAAACATACAAGACTAACAAAGGCCAGAGGCTCCTGACTTGGGACAGGCGCAAAAAGGCGGCGGGGTTCAACATTTTTTGTGAGATCTCAACCCTCCCCCTATACCTCTAGCCAATGTAGAATAAAGAAACACATAGCAACATGCACAGTAAAACTCAATTTAAAAGAAGTCAGGGTCCGATGTCAGAATAGGTAACAAAAGAAACTAAGCAAAATGACAATGATACATAAATTAACAAAGGACTACTAGCAGTTACTGACATGCCAGCTCCAGACCTCAATTACACTGATTGAAAGATTATGTCTTCATCATATAAAAATCAAGTACAATACCTCCCGGGGTTTAGTATCATACCATCATAAAATATATGAGAAGAACATAACCCGTATCATGCCAACAATTGGTTTTAGAATAAATGTGTTTATTTCCGATGCAAAGACCCTATGAGTGAATAAATATTATTACCAAAATATGCAATCCTTAATGACCTGACAACAGTAACGTAACTATATCCCTTCCGAATAAGTCTGTTTAAAGGTTTGGTTAGCTTTTGAGGTGAATGCCGACATTTTTGTGCTTTGTAAAGAATATTACCATAAAAGATTGGATGTGAAATACCTGAACGTATAGGATGTCTGCATGTTGATTTATATTTACGAATGATGTCCTTGTACCGATGATAAAATTTAGTAAATGTTTTGACTAGTTTGTGATATCGAAAACCCTGGTGTAATAATTTTTCATTAATACAGAGAGTTCTTTCGTTGAAATCAAATACGTTGTTACATACACGAGCGAATCGAACAAGTTGAGATATATAAACACCATATGATGGTGACAAGGGAACGTCACAATATAAAAATGGATAATTAACTATAGGAAATGAAAAATCATCTCTTTTATCATAAATTTTGGTATTAATCTTCCCGTTAAAGATATAGATATCAAGATCCAGGAAAGGGCAGTGTTCATTGTTAGTATCAGCTTTATTTAAAGTCAGTTCGGCAGGATAAATCTCTTTATTGTACATACTGAAGTCGTCATTATTGAGAGCCAATATATCATCTAAATATCTAAAAGTGTTATTAAATTTTTAAATCAGATGTTGTTTCGATGGGTCTTTGGTGATTTTAGTGATAAATTGTAACTCATAACAATACTGAAACAGGTCCGCAATCAGTGGTGCACATTTAGTCCCCATGGGAATTCCGATAACCTGACGATATACGGAATCTCCATAGAGAACAAAAATGTTATCTAGCAAAAATTCAAGGGCAGTTATAGTATCAAAGCAGGTCCAATTGACATAGTTCTTTTGTTTGTTGTTACTAAAAAATGACCTAAAAGAGTTTGAACATATATATTCGCATTCCGACTTTTTAAATGCCCATTTAATCAGGTGTGTGAATTTTTTCTTAATAAGATTATGAGGCAAAGTGGCATATAGGGTAGAAAAATCAAAACTTTGAACAGATTCGAAATCACCAATATAAGCATGCAATTTATCAAGTACTTCCAACGAATTTTTGACACTCCAAAAGTAATTAATTCCACTATTTTCAAAGGCCTTATTTGAACAATTTATTACCAGGTTTTTGGTTGTACCAAGGGTACTAGTACGTAGAATAGATAGTTTAGTAGTGGAACAATGGCGTGAAGACGAAATAAATCTATATTTGTAAGGAGTTTTGTGCAGCTTCGGAAGCCAGTACATAGTTGGAACTTTCATTGTATTAGTTTCTGCTTGTAAAGAGGTAGCTAAAAGTTTATGTTTGTTACAGATGTCATTTTCCGAAAATGGAGTCAGTTGGAATGTTGGTGAATTCGTGATTTCCTTTTTCAGAACCTCAATGTAAAATTTACGTGAAACAATGATGATATTTTTAGCAGCCTTATCAGCAGGGACAAAAACAAAATCCTTGGCGAGTTCTTTTAGCTTATGTTTGATACGAGAAATAGGGCTATTATGGTTGTTGTTGGGAGTAAAATGTTCTTTAAAATGTTGAATACGCATATCAACTATGTTCATTACCGAATTAAAAAAAGATTCTAATGATTTATTGTCAGCTTTTTCTCGTTTTATCCATTTAGAGCAGTAAGTACGGAGTGAGTCGTAGATGATGTTAATATTTTGCATTCTTGCTTTCATTAAAATTAAACAAAAAACTGTTCAATCGGCTTACGGAAATTTTCAAATTTCTTTAATGACATGTTTGTATGTCTTCGTCAATTTGTCACTGATGAATAGTTGTATCATTGGCAATAATACAACATCTTCTATTTTTTTGTTGTACTTTAATTGCAGAAAGAACGTGTATGTGCAACAGTATTCTCTGTCAAATGTCCAGTTTGACGGGGTTTCGAAACTTATGTCATGAAATAAATATCAAATAAAAGCAAACTTTTGGTTAAAACGACAAAACTGTAAAAGTAAACCTGTTGTTGATTACAGCCAGCTGCAGACTCGTTGTAATTCGTGAAGCATCGTTTCAAAGTGTCATTATTGTTTTACATTGTACATTCCTTCGAAGTTTGACAGGGTTCAAGATAAAATGTTTGAATCTTTAACATTTTGGAAAGGTACTATTCCTTTGAAAAACATTGATAACAGTTAAGCATGCCAAAATTTATCCGATTTGTCCATTTGTAAACACAATTGCGTCGTGCCAATCTGATGAGTCTACCCATGTCTAACTGATTTTTATAGTTTGTTCTGATGTTGTGTTGTTAAACCAATGCCCAGAGGCTAGATGGAGGGTTGAACGCTCACAAACATGCTTAACCCTGCCACATTCTTTATGTACTTATCTCAAGTTAGGAGAAGACTGTAACCAGTGATTTTCGTTGGTTACTGTTTGATCTGTATCTCATATTTGTTTTTCGTATATTGTTTTGTCATAGATCAGGCAGTTAGTTTTATTCGTTTGAATTGTTTCTCATTTTGTCATGTCGTGGTATTTTTTGCTGACTATACGGCAAAGGTTTTGCTCATTGTTAAAGGTCTTGCGGCACCATATAGTTGCCTAAAACACGTCATTTAGACTCTGGTGGATAATTGTACATATTGGTTCCTCACTTCCTTATTTAAAACAAGATGTGAACATTTGATCGATTTCACCGGATTCGTATACTTCATAAACTCTAGTTATGCACTAAAATGGTGAGTACTAATTGGAGCTTCAAGTGAATGTGTATGAATACCATTGTAAATCGATTTTAAAGTATACGTAAACTTACAAAAGATAAGGAAGGATGTTCCTATTTTTATTGTCGTTAGCGTTAATGGTAGGGAACATTGAAAGTACATCGTTATCAATGTTTTCTTCCGATGACAACAGGAATGAATCAACCCCAACTGAAACAGGTAAAATAGTACTATCATATTTCTGAAAATACTATATTTAATGCATGTTTTGTATTCTTATAATCAATATAACTAGTGTATGTATGTGTGTATCAGAATTAAAACACAATTTTGTATTAAAATATAAACCCATTTTAGAAACTAAATTTTAGATTTATATAAAGTGTTCGGCATTCCCTAAGCATTTGGAGGCACGTTCAGACTTCGCATTCTGTTTGCGATCATGAGAAAAAAAAATTTGCTCAAAGAGAAAATGTCATCCTTTTATCTTAACAATGCAGAAAATACATTGGATTATTCAGTTTAATCAAATTAATACTATGAAATTCATTTTTTGGGGAAAATATAATAAACATTTCAGCATAATTGATAAGACTAATAATGAAAGCTTGATCCGGCAGGTTGAAATGTTTATTTCATATTGAATATTATTTATGGGACAAACAGATTTTGTAAAGGTGACCTATAGTTGTTTACTTCTACCGTCATTTTGTCTCTGATGGAGAGTTGTCTTTATTGAAATCATACCACATCTTCTTATCTTATATCAAGAATATCATTTATAACTTATTTTCTTGAGAATTATCATACATGACTAAGTCTGGTTTAAAAAGCAAGAAAGAAAGAAAAGAGAAAGATTAAAAGATAAAAATGTAAAGATAAGGTACGTGTGTCCAACTTTAATGAACTCGATCTCATAGTGCTTAACGTGACATTTATTTTAGTATTTTACTTATACATGTACTTGACACAATATGTAAACAGATAAATCATATGCAGATCATATATATCTAGCCATCACAACTGTCACAGCATTTCTGAACGTAAAAAAAGATAATTCAACCAAACGTCTACCCAAGAAAACAAATAAGGTTGTTTTAATATAAATGGGGTGCTAATACCAAAATGATTATCTAAAAACCTAATTCGAATAAAGCAGTCAACGACACAACCAATAGAAAATGAACCAATAGACAAACAACAGTCAACCCCAGAACACCTCACAAATATCTAAAGATTGACCATAATCGGGGTTAACTCTAGAACACGAATGAGTACGCGGTTTTTTCTATCATTGCCGTGGAATTTGATTGATTATGACAGGACAAAAAAACCCAACTAAATACTATTTTTATATATTGATCCGCAAAGTAATGTTGTGATATGTTATTAGTATTGTAAGTTGTAAGTATATTTTGTAGCAGGACATGGTATCTATGCAGCATGCGAGACATCGTTTGATTGTGGAAGAAAGTTGATATGTACCGATTTCAAATGTCAATGTTGCAAAGAACTTTACTGGAACGGAACAAACTGTCTTACAAGTAAGTATATTATATAATTTATAAATATTGGCCGTGGGGTTTTAAAGTGTACCTCAGAGCACAGTAAAAGGTAGCTCTGGCATCGTGTTATCTTCAAGATTCTCTTTTTTAACGAACGTGTGTGTCCTGAACAAGTTCGTCTCTTACGCACCCTGATATTAGAAATGCATGCACCTACATGTAAATACGCATTGTATTTCTATTTTTAAAAGTTGCATTAGCAGAAATTCATAACTAAACACATTTAAAAACATTTATTCTAAAACCAGTTGTTGGCATGATACGGGTTATGTTCTTCTCGTATATTTTATGATGCTATAATACTAAACCCCTAACGGGTGTGATTGTGCTTTATTTTCATCTGATGAAGACATAATCTTTCAAACATTTTTTATTGAGGTCTGGAGCTGGCATGTCAGTAACTGCTAGTAGTCCTGTTAATTTATGTATCATTGTCATTTTGCTTAGTTTTTTCTGTTACCTATTCTAACACCGGACTCGGACTTCTTTTAAACTGAGTTTTACTGTGCGTATTGCTATGTTTATTCTACATTGGCTAGATGTATAGAGGGAGGGTTGAGATCTCACAAAACATGTTTAACCCCGCCGCATTTATGCGCCTGTCCAAAGTCAGGAGCCTCTGGCCTTTGTTAGTTTTGTATATTTTTTTTAAATTTTGGTTCATTTAGATGTTTCGGAGTTTACTGTGACGTCCATTTTTGCTTAACTAGTACATATTTTTGTTTAGGGGCCAGCTGAAGCCCGCCTACGGGTGCGGGATTTTCTCGCTGTGTTGAAGACCCTTTGGTGGCTTTGGGCTGTTTTTTTATCTTTGGCCGGGCTGTTGTCTCTTTGACACATTCCCCGTTTCCATTCTCAATTTTATAAAATGTTATTTTCTTCCCAAATTTTTTTGTGAGGGGAAAAATTAGGATTTCCTGCATTGTATGTCCTCGAAGCAAGGCATTATACATTGATGAACTAGATCAATAATTATGATAGGTATACGGTTATAATTGACAATAGGTCTTATGGTAACATTTCCCTTTCAATGGATAATTCATTTCAGGTAATGGACATTACGTACTATGGTAGATAGTTTCCTAATATGTACTGTTTAACTTAGTTTTGTCATCCTTTGGTCCTTGAAATAGTGATTGTCAAATGAGTTTCAATTTGAAAAAAAACATCAGATTTTGCCCCTTTTCATTTTTATTTTTCAAATATGCGTTTAAACAATAAAAAGAATATTAAACCATGATATATTTGTTAACTTTGAATGATAGCTTTAAATTTATATTAGAAGGAGGGTCTAACAGAAATTTGACCTAATTATTATTATTTTTTAATTCTTTGCCAAATAAATTACGAAGTTGCAGAGCATTGAGAACCAAAACTTCCGAAAGATTTTACAAAATAGAGCAAACGTTATCTTTTTCTGGGGTAGAACATCCTTAGTAATGTGAAAAATTCAGTTTGGTAAACAACTAATTCAAATTATGAACATATCAATTATAATGTATGTCAACACAGATCTAGAATGACTGCCTTCTGGGATGGTGATACTCCCGGGGGATAAAAATTCCACTAGCAACTGCTTCCACCAGGATTAAAATTTTATACGCCAGACGCGCGGTTCGTCTATAAAAGACTCATGAATTTTGAGTAATTCAAATGTACTTATATTGTTGTTACCAGATTATCTAGGATCTAGAAAATGTAATGTACCTTCTTTTCCATGGAATTCGAAACGTATATAACCATTCATAAGTTTTACCTTTTAACATTCACATTTAGAAATGTGATATATTATAAATATTTTTGTAACAGGAAAAGGACAGAACCAATATTGCAACTCATCATCAGAATGTATTGAATCTCTTCAGTGTATAGAAACTTCATGTATATGTGCAGAGAAAGACTACTGGGACGGTGACACATGTGTTGCAAGTAAAAATTACTTTTAATCTCAGATATTTTTATATTTTCTTCTACTTTTAGCATATACATACGTAAAAAATAATTAATTTTACCCGATAAAATTTCTTAAATAGAAATAAGTTTAAAACTAAGACAAAACGATTTCCGTACTAAGAAGTCTATTTCAAAATAAATAAGAAGATGAGGTGTTTTAATTAACAGTTACTGCTTATTTTATACCTAACCTCTAATACCTAACTTGACCTTTCATGTGTTTTCATTTCCAAGGAAAATTGTTGAATGACAAATGCTCTCTACACTTTGAATGTCAACCGACACTTAGTTGTGCACGTGGATACTGCCAATGCCCATCATCGGATTTCTGGAATGGATCATCATGTGCTTTGAGTATGTACAATAAAAGATTAACGAAAATTTAGGTATTTCAATATACATTTGATGATGACTCTCATCAAACGGAAGCCATTCTATATGTGATATTTACAGTATGTGTTCAGTTCATACAAGTGCTGATCGTTTATTTGACTAAAAACGAAACATTGGATTATGTCACTTGCGTTTTATTTGTACGAATGTAACTTAGGTGTTCATAATGCAACCTATGGTACATGTAACCGTTGTAATATAGGATAATGAGTTCCACCATCCTAATTAATCAACACAACTTTGTCACACTATTTGTGCAAATACTGTTTTATAAAAATCGCAATTGAAAAAGTAATTGACTTACATATATTAAAAATATTAGTAATTGATAGAAATATGTAACAATCAATTATTATCCGATGATATACACGAATAATCGTAAAAGAAATTTGAAAAACGAAAATATCGAAATATATATCTACTTGGCATCTTTATTATGAAAATTTCTGTATGGTTGTTTGACACAGTCAACTTGTGAAAAACAGTATATATGAATAAGGAAATATGGTATGATTGAATTACCAATGAGACAACTACACATGTACCAAAAAGACAGAAAGACAAAGATACAAACTATAGAGCACTGTATGGCCATGATCAAAACCCATACCGGATATGAAATAATAAAATAATCACGACCCCGCACAACAAAATGCAAAACAATTCACAAGATAAAACCAACGGCCTGATCTATATTTGTATATTGGTAAATCCAACAAAAGATAACCAAACAAGGGCAACCACTGGCCTACAGCCTCCTTACCAAACAAGGGCAACCACTGGCTTACAGCCTCCTGACTTGACACACAAAGAATATATATATGGCCAGGTCAAAGATGTTATTATTTATGAGATCTTTGAAATTTTCAGTCTAAATAGTCAAGTGTACAAAATTTACTAGTTAGCATATATTTATATATAAAATGTTGTTTGTGCTGTATTTAGACCCCTCTACCAAGAAATTTGTTTTGCATGCACACGTATAAAAATTGCGGTTTTTATCCAACGCAATCATAGGTTTGAACGTTGTTTTCAATTTAGACTTATTTATCTGATTTTTCGTTTGGGCTTGTATGATATTTGCCTTCGGGTTTATATGATCCGTTCATCCTATTTCGACTCTTCAAAGTTCAAGAGTCTCAGACTCTATCCTAAATTGAGGTAAATAATATGGCCTTCCAAATACCGTTTCGATTCCTAACATCACTGAAGAGACATTAATTGTCGAAATTCGGATATGATGTACAAATTTTTGCACCTCATGTTTGCGGTGTACCATCTTTTCCGCAAGTTTATTGTTTTCTGTTTGGTATTAAATTAATAATAAAAATCCATTTTGTTACATCTTGTGATCCGTTTTTTTGGCAATCGCCAATGGCAGTCAGCAGAGTTTAAGAACATCCGTTGTTCGACCTGTTAGTTAAATGCGTTTTGTTTAAATATACTTTTTCACTTTTTTGGTCTTTTGGAAAATGTTGATTGTGCTGTATTTCGACCCCTCTACCAAGAAATTTGTTTTGCATGCACACGTATAAAAATTGCAGTTTTTATCCAACGCAATCATAGGTTTGAACGTTGTTTATATATAGATTCTACCACTGCATCGAGTGTGATACGATATTTATCCACTCGAGACAGTTAAATTTTCAAATTTAATACGCGAGGCTCGCCGAGCGTTTTAAATATTTAAAATTTAACTGTCGAGAGTGGATAAATATCGTATTACACGATATTTGGTGGTGGAATCTGTTTCTCTAATGATTTTCAAACTATACGCAGGCAAATTTATTCCTTCTTTTCGAATGATCTGCAAAAAGATGTGCTCTTTCTATGTGACGTCATCAGGCATGGTCGCCTTTTTTTCATGCCGTCACAATAGGAAATTCAGAAGAAAGCAAGAAAATTCGACGTCATAATCGGATTTTAACCAATGAAGAACTGAGATCAAACGAATCACACGTTGATTAAATTGTTTTTATACAATGGGTGCAGAAAAGGATAAATTGACGAAGAATTAGAGAAATATATATATAGTCTGACGTATGATCTCATGTTTAATTCATATTCCGTGAAGCTTATTTAATTATGCATATCGATAATTAAACCATGTTGTTATTTATTTTAGTTACGATTCGTAAAATCAGAAGTGATTTTCAAATAAAAGAACTATATATTTTCATTTTCTATCAATGTACAGGAAAAATCCAAAATGAAACTTGTAGATTGATCCATGAATGTGGAGACACTCTCCAATGTAAAAACAAAACATGTGTATGTTGTAAGAACGACTACTGGAATGGAACCTTCTGTATCACAAGTACGTATAGACTCATACTAGTATTATGATACAAAGTTTGGCTGATGAAATAATTTCTCAAAGAGGCATTAGCTGTCAAATTCATGATCAATGATTTGACTTAAATTACCATATTTGATTTATAACATACTAAATCTTATATCTGAATAACAAAACGTTCAAAAAAGAAACAATTTTAAACAATACATAAATTCGTTATAATGTATCAGCATTTCGTACGTATTCTAGACCAGACGCCATCTAATTTACCATCGAGGTGATATCCAAAGACTACCGACGGTATTACGACATGACACAAACATAGATATAGATATAAATAGACAGACAGACATGCATGTGCAATAATTGTTCTATGACTATTTGTCGAGGTCTGTTTGATTTCATGTTATGTAAATTATAGTTTTACCTGTATATGAATGATTTTTGTGGGACAAATAAGTCAACGAAATGTTTTTCCTGGTGGCTCCTTTGATTCATTTTTTGTATTGACATTCTTTTCTTTTGAATAATTTGAATAACTGAACACGGTAAGCACATGCGTAATCCGGGATCTAATTACGGTCTGCTTGAATACGGATTCAAATTAGTTAAAGTATTTACTTGCAAGACAATTATACATTTGCGAGGATTGTGAGTTTATTTTGACAAAATTGAACCAAACTGAAAGTAAAGGGACGACCATTTGATATTCTGGGGGGGGGGGGGGGGGGGGGGGGGCAGGAGGATTTGTTTTGGATCGGTTATTTATTTTTGTAAACTAAGAGGACAGATTATCTATTTTCTGCACTATTGAAGCAAGATTTTTCATTTTCATTTAAGCAAGGGACTGATTATTTATTTTCACAACTATATTTATAATATTCGAAAACATACAATTTTTAAATTATTTGTTTATTATAAATAATTCATGTATAGTCAAGTCATTATGTACCATTTAATCAGAATTAATTATTATCCTCTGCAGAAATGAATCTTTTATATCCCCCCAATGCATACATTTTGTATACATGTATTGCATACATACACAGTATTAAAGTTTGGTTGAAACTAAGGCTCTTCTAAAAGTATTGGCAAACATGTTTCGCCAAGCGGAGCGAGGCAAAAAATTTTTGAAGGGTTTTTGAACCGCTGAAGGCCCAAGAAGCTATAGAACACATGATGCAAAATCATGCCTTCTGGGTGTTCCCCAGAACCTTTCTTAAACTGAAAATGCAAGTTCTGTTTTAATAATTTTATGACAATATTTTGGTCTCAAAGCAAAATCACGTTATAGATTCAGTGTAAGACTTAAGTTTCTAGGAACAACATCAAAAGACAAATATGCATGATATTAAAAGCAAAAATGTAATTCACATAGTTAAGTCTGTGGCTGCTGTGTTTTTTTAAACTCATGTTCAAGTTAATAATAAAATTACTAAATTACAAAATGAATGCAACACTAACAGAATACAGAAGGGCAATCAATGAACAAAAGACAAATAAATAAGAAACATTGATCCCGAAAAATCTTGGGCTACGTCTGAGGGAGAACAAAACTTGCTTCTTGCAAGGCACTCACGGTGAACACAATTTGATATGGAGACAAGCGTTTGGTTTTGAAATTTCCTACATGAGGGCTAGGCATTTGTCTCAATGGAGTTACGGCCCTGATTTAATAAAAGTGAGGTAAGTGTTCCTGAGACAATTAACCTCAAGTTAAATGAAACCAATTTTCTGACATTTCAAGTATATTTAAATAATATTTATACTTTTATTATTAAAAGATATGGGAAGTGTTTCCCGATTTTTTTTTTGGAAAAAAGATGAATTTATGAAGAATCTGGTGCCATCTCATACTTTCGATTAGACCTGCTGAGTTATTTATTTTCAATACATTGCAAGTCAGGTAATTTATTTTCAAACTACCACAGAACAAACCATTTATTTTTGTGATTATCAAGGCTGAGTTATTTATTTTCAAAATCCCCCCCCCCCCCCCCCCCCCCAGAATATCAAATGGTCGTCCCCTAATACTTCCGCTTGTTTGTTTGAAACAAAAACAAAATCATATTCTATATTTTAGTCTAGATCGTAGCTTAAACCCCGTTAAAATAACAAACAATCTTCTAACCATGATTACATTGAACTATCAATTTTGTTAAGCCACGATATATACCATAGTTTGTTGTTTATTTCTTCCAATGTAAGACGATTGATCGTTTTGAAGACTGTATTGTAGTTCTTTGATGATCTAACTAAAACCTATGTCAATTATCTACATCTAGGATAAAACCACTATTCCATACAATTACTTGGTAACTATTTGAGAGTTTAAACTGAAAATTGCTGACAGACATAATTCTTCTTTTGTTCTTAAAGTGGAAAGATAAGGAACAAGTATACGCATGCCTTACGTCTCTTTCATTTGGGTTGCTGTCTCATTTGTTTTTATTTAAAGTGATAGTAAAACAAAAGTCGTTATTGTAATAACTTTTACCTTTTTTTTCTTCAGAAAAACAAATATACAGTCAATGCAATTCACACATCGAATGCGAAATTGGAATGAACTGTTGTCATGCTTTTTGCCAACTGTCTTCCTGCTTCAAATACACTGAAATGAGTAAATATATATATTGTATTAAGTCCTAAGAAATTTTTTTTTTAATTTTAAAATTTCATTATATGAATAGCAAAAATTCAATGCCAAGACGTTTCAGTATTTCGAAAACTATGCTGGCATATTTAAAGATATAGAACACACATTTTCCCCAGTTTTTAACAATGTCTAAAGACGACAGACGACGACGACTGATGATGACTTTTTCCAAGTGATAGTTATAGCTTATAATAGTACATAGCAGGTCAATGGAATCATGCAATGATGAAGATCTTCTTGAATTCCTATTGTTGTGTTGCTGTTTTTTTTTATTATGATTTACTGCGTGTTAACCGTTGATAATAATGCAAACTATTACAAGTATTTGAGAATTATAAAATGAGGAACAATATTGATAAGTGTCTGTCAAATGTTTACTATCTTTCTTTATATGTTCCATAGTTTGAGGTCAGAAGAATTATAATGACAATATTTATCTAACATCTTAAATGTGTGCCAAAGTTGTTTACTGAAAACATTGTTTAACATTGCTTCCGATTTAAATTGCATTATACCAACAAAAAAGACCTATCTTTTCGACGCACATACACGTATTATCATTTCAATCATAAATCGTCTAATTTCAACTTGTTTTGAACTTCCATGTTTGTCTGTATCTTTGTATGCTTTCTTCATATCAAATTTCAAACAATTCATATTCTTTTAATTTGTAGGTTCCTCTGATTCAGCATTCATTATAACCTTCACAGAGCCTGGTAACGTAAAGGCACAGTACTTACTATTGAACACTAGAAACAAGGGATCGCTATATCAGTTCACATTTTCGAATAACTTAAACAAGTCATACACAATATCACGTGATATTTATTCAATTAATGTGCCTAAAAGCGTTATAATGCCAAATGGTATATCACAAAATGGCGCCCAATACCATTGGTAATGTATGGTCTTCAGATGGGATCTAGTGGGGGATATACAGAAGGTTATATTGCCATCCCGTTAAAATATCTATCAACTCGATACATTTTTCCTTCTTTCAAGATTAACAAGGACAGTTCAATCACAATTTCATCGATTAATGACAATACTAAGATTCAGATAAATCCTAAAATGGAAAAAGAACCACTTAAGTACACGGGTGTCTCCTACAGAAATAATGATACTATCACAGTACTTATCAATAAACACTATTCATTTAAGCTGTCACATACATCTGACTTATCCGGGACAATCGTATCAACCTTCAAACCAGTGTCTATGTTAAGTAGCAGTGCATGTACATCAATAGTAGCAGGTAAAGGCTGTAATGAACTATTGGAGACTGTGTTACCTATTAACCAGTTAGATCAAACATACATCATACCAGCAATAGAAACAAGACCAAATAGTTCTGTGAGGATATTTTGCACAAGAACTACTACTTTGAGAGTGATAAATAAAAATCAAGTAACAGATAGAGTAATCCATGGACAAGAACACTTTGAATTTATCCATGAAAAAGTTTCACATGTGCATGCTAATAACGATGTGTTGGTCATGCTTTATGCACACGAAATTGATGCCGGTGGAACTGTTTTTATGATGACTATACAAGGACGTAATCAGTACCTATCGTACTATAACTTTGTAGTGCCAGATAATTTTACAAGTTATATCAGCGTCACCGTAATCTCTGATGCGTTGGATGGATTATCTCTGGACGGTGAACTAATAACAATCAGAAGTGCTTACACTATTCATGACGGAGCAGAATACTATAGTACCTTTAGTTTACCAGTAACTGCTGGAAATCATAACATGAAGCACGTGAGAGGGGTACGGTTTGGTCTCTGGGTATATGGACAAAATACAAATTACGATTCATATGGTTACCCCGCTGGTATTGCTTTCAAGACAATATAAACATTTCACTACGTCGTTTTATTAACAGTAAACGCATTCACAAAGACAGAAACCTATTGCGAGAGACTATGTGTTTTCCAAAAATTCTTTTAATATTTTCGAAAATAAAACCATCATAATCTGATCAAATAGTGATATTAAATATATTATGTAGTAAACTACAAATTACTTCTTATAACCTACAACAATACTTATTTAGTTTCATTGAAAAGAGCTTTGTAACAATTCATTTTTGCTTATTCTAATAAATATTGCACATCTATAAAAAAAAATAGATAAGAAAGTGACAACCAATCAGGTGAACTAGACTAGAAATCAATAACAATCAGGTAAACCAAACCAGTAATCAACAACCGATCAGGTAAAATAGACAAGTAATCAACAACCAATCAGGTAAACCAGACTAGTAATCAACAACCAATCAGGTAAATCAGACTAGTAATCAACAACCAATCAGGTAAACTAAACCAGGAATCAACAACCAATCAGGTAAACTATACTAAAAAACAACAACAATCAGGTAAAATAAACCAGTAATCTACAACCAATCAGATAAACTAGACCAGTAATCAACAACCAATCGGGTAAACTAGACTAAAAAACAACAACAGTCAGGTGAAATAAACCAGTAATCAACAACCAATCAGATAAACTAGACCAGTAATCAACAACCAATCAGGTAAACTAGACCAGTAATCAACAACCAATCAGGTAAACTAGACGGTAATCAACAACCAATCAGGTAAACAATAATAGAAATCAACGACCAATCAGGTTGAACTAGACCAGTAATCAACAACCAATCAGGTAAACTAGACTAAAAAACAACCAATCAGGTAAATTAGACTAGAAATCAACAACCAATCAGGTAAACTAGACTAGTAATCAACAACCAATCAGGTAAACTAGTAATCAACAATCAATCAGGTAAACTAGAATAGAAATCAACAACCAATCAGATAAACTAGACTAGTAATCAACAACAAATCTAGTAAGCAAGACTAGAAATCAACAACCAATCAGGTAAACTAGACTAGTAATCAACAACTAATCGGGCAAACTAGACTGGAAATCAATGACCAATCAGGTAAACTAGAATAGTAATCAACAACCAATCAGGTAAACTAGAATAGTAATCAACAACCAATCAGGTAAACTAGACTAGTAATCAACAACAAATCTGGTAAGCTAAACTAGAAATCAACAACCAATCAGGTCAACTAAACTAGCTATCAACAACCAATCGGGCAAACAAGAGTATATTCAAAACAACTAATTAGCTAAACTAGACTAGTAATCAACAACCAATCAGGTAAACTAGAATAGGAATCAATGACCAATCAGGTAAACTAGACTAGAAATCAACAACCTATCAGATAAACTAGACCTGTAATCAAAACCCGTCAGATAAACTAGACTAGGAATTAATGACCAATCAGGTGAACTAGACTAGTAATCGACAACTAATAAGGTAAACTATACTAGAAATCAACAACAAATCAGGTAACCTAGACTAGTAATCAACAACTAATCAAGTAGACCAGACAAGTAATCAACAACCACTCAGGTAAAATAGACTAGCAATTAACAACCAATCAGGTAAACTTGACAAGATATAACCAACCAATTAGGTCAACTAGACCAGAAATCAAAATCCATTCAGGTTAACTAGACTAGTAATCAACAACCAATTAGGTCAACTAGACCAGAAATCAACATCCAATCACATAAACTAGACTAGTTATCAACAACCAATCAGGTAAACTAGAGTAGGAATCAACAACCAATCAGATAAACAATACCAGTAATCAACAACCAATCAGGTAAACTAGACTAGGAATCAATAACCAATCAGGTAAACTAGACTAGAAATGAACAACCAATCAGGGAAACTATACAAAAATCAACAACCCAATCAGGTAAACTAGACTAGTAATCAACAACCAATCATGTACACCAGACTGGTAATCAACAACTTATCAGGTAAGCTAGACTAGTAATCAACAACAAATCAGATAAACTAGACTAAAAATCAACAAACAATCAGGTAAACTGGACCAATAATCAACAACCAATCAGTTAAACTGGACTTGTAATCAACGAACAATTAGGTTAACTAGACTAGCAATCAACAACCAATTAGCTAAACTAGACTAGTAATCAACAACCAATCAGGTAAACTAGAAAAGAAATCAATGACCAATCAGATAAACTAGACTTGTAATCAACAACCAGTCAAATAAACTAAACTAGGAATCAATGACCAATCAGGTGAACTAGACTAGTAATCAACAACTAATTAGGTAAACTATACTAGAAATCAACAACAAATCAGGTAACCTAGACTAGTAATCAACAACCAATAAGGTAGACCAGACTAGTAATCAACAACTAGTCAGGTAAACTAGATTAGTAATCAACAACCAATCGAGTAAACTAGACTAGTAATCAACAACCAATCAGGTAAAATTGACAAGATATCAACAACCAATTATGTCAACTAGACCAGAAATCAGCATCCAATCAGGTTAACTAGACTAGTAATCAACAAACAAATAGGTCAACTAGACCAGAAATCAACATCCAATCTGGTAAACTAGACTAATAATCAACAACTAATCAGGTGAACTAGAGTAGAAATCAACAACTAATCAGGTAAACTAAACCAGTAATCAACAACCAATCAGGTAAACTAGACTAGGAATCAATTACCAATCAGGTAAACTAGACTAGAAATGAACAACCAATCAGGTAAACTATACAAAAATCAACAAACAAATCAGGTAAACTAGACTAGTAATCAACAACCAATCAGGTAAACTAGACTAGTAATCAACAACCAATCAAGTAGACCAGACTAGTAATCAACAACCAACCAGGTAAACTAGACTAGTAATCAACAACCAATCATGTAAACTAGACAGGTAATCAACAACCAGTCGGGTAAACTAGAGTAGTAATCAACAACCAATTAGGTAAACTAGACTAGAAATCAACATCTAATCAGGTCAACTAGACTAGAAAACAAGAACCAATCAAGTAGACCAGACTAGTAATCAACAACTAATCAGGTAAACTAGACTAGTAATCGATGACCAATCAGGTAAACTAGACTAGAAATCAACAACCAATCAGATAAACTGGACTAGGAATCAACAACCAATCAGGTAAGCTAGACTAGAAATCAACAATTAATCAGGTAAATCAAACTAGAAATCAACAACCAATCAGGTAAACTAGACTAGAAATCAACAACCAATCAGGTATAATAGACTAGTAATCAACAAACAATCAGGTAAACTAGAATTGAAATCAACAACCAAGCAGGTAAACTAGACTAGAAATTAACAACCAATCAGGTAAACCTGACTAGAAATCAACAACCAATAAGGTATACTAGACTAGTAATCAACAAACAATCAGGTAAACTAGAATTGAAATCAACAACCAATCAGGTAAACCTGACTAGAAATCAACAACCAAGCAGGTAAACTAGACTAATAATCAACAACCAATCAGATAAACGAGATTAGTAATCAACAACCAATCAGGTAAGCTAGACTAGTTATCAACAACTTATCAGGTAAACTAGACCAGTAATCAACAACCAATCAGGTAAGCTAGACTAGTAATCAACAACTTATCAGGTAAATCAAACTAGAAATCAAAAACCAATCAAGCAGATGGTAAATGAAGTGGAAATCGAGTTTTATTGACTAGAAAAAGGACAAATTAAAAGTTTTTAAAGCTAGACTTATAACCGTTCTTAAGCTGCTGACCTCGGACCTGCACACAAATGTTTGATGACAATCTTTATGCAGGATAATCAAGGAAAGAATCAAACCTCGATTTCTGAATGGTAAATACTGAGTAACAATAGTATTACAACATATCATAATCATAGTCCAAGCCACTTTGGGTTTTTTTAATGGAAATACGAAATAGTTATGAAGGCTTTGCGTGAACATTTCTGCTGGCTTCTAAAATAATTTGGTTTCACGTCAAAGTTTGTATTTCAGAAACTTGAAAAAGGTCTCATAGGAGTGAAAGCAAACTCATACAAAAAAGAATATGTGGTTTGATTGCCAATGAGACAACTCTTCACATGAGACCAAATTACACAAAAATTAACAACTATAGGTCACCGTACGGCCTTCAACAATTAGCAAAGCACATACCGCATAGCCAGCTATAAAAAGCCCCGAAATGAAAAATGTAAAACAATTCAAACGAGAAAACTAACGGCCTAATGAATGTACAAATGTCAGGTTAGCATTAAAATGTATCCTCACCAGACCAAATGCTTAGAATGATTGTAAAATTTGCTTCACTATCCTATGATATTGCTGCTGTTCATATACAGTGCTGATATTTAATTTTTGTTAAAATGTGAAAATGATCTGCATTCTAGGAAACTGTAAAATCTAGCAACCGTTGGTCTAAAGAAGATATCTGTTAGTCTGGATTTTTTTTAATGGAAAAGAAACGTAGGCGTTGCGTTTCTCTTAATATCGTGTATATTTGAGTACTTCGTGCGTATTATTGAGTTTACAACGTATTAAGGCCATTCGTGTGTAATACATGTATGATTATCTTTCTAAAAACTACCATTTTACATGTACCAGCCGAGATTCGCTCAAGGAGTCCTGGCACAGTAGGCCACCGTTTTACCAACTGACCTAAAGAAGTGCTTCCCTAGGGCAGCTAATTGAGGTTGGCTTTATATCGACTACATCAGTGGTAATAGTGTGACCATACCTTATATCTTTTGTTTAAAACAAAATGTGAAAATAACACCTTTTGGCTATTTAATTCCTTATTATTTTACAAGACATTGTTAGTAGTACGATTTACAAAGACAATATTATTTGAAGCTTTGTCCGCAGGAACAACATACTTATCGTGAAGAGATGATAGACATTTCACAGCTTCTTTGTCTCTGAAAACGAACTTATGTCGATCATTCTCACAGTTTTTCAACTTATGAATTCGACGTTTTATCAGAGACCTGATTGTTTTGCCCATTCTGACAAAGTGTCCACTTGAACTTCTTCTCGTTGAGCCCATGCTCTGGTGTAGTCCTCAATGGAATTCATAATTATTTTGAAGTTATGATTCCAATTGACGTGTTGGGGTTTTCTAAACTTAGGACCATGAGATATCACCTTTCG